CGACGTTGTCAGCATAAGTAAGGGATATGAGTACCAAAATAATACAACAAAATAATCGAAAATCGAATACACGTAGCCCGCGAAAATTCAAAAATGTGCATTGGTAGAAAAGAAAGTTTTTTGAGTAAAAGTCGTGTAAATTTATATATGATATATATTTTTCCTATAATTCCCAATGTGGTTCTACTGTCAAGATATTTATGTCGTTCTGTGAAGATGTGATCTTGACTTTCAAGGAGATTTTTAGCAACAAAGGGAAAGTTAGAATAATTAAATTAAAACTAGTATTAAAAAAACAGGTTATTTAAAAATACTCTTTAGGCTGAAATTAAGCATTTAAAATTTGATAGATTTAAGATGAACATAACCTGACCACTCCAAGTTGTAATTATATACATATCTCATAAGCACCGTGAACCAGTTTATATGGGCTTTAGGGTTCATACATTCGCTCTGCATCAATAGACGCCTATCTTAATATGTTTAGTTTATAATAGTAAATTTTACATTCTTAATGTACTTTCATATTTTTTTCAACAAAAGCATCAACAAGCCCTATTAATATTTCCTCAAGTGCGAAAAATGGTGCGCAATTAAGTTGTCATAAAAAAGTATTTTACTCTTGGCGATTTTGATAAGTTTGGATTTTGTTTTTTGCGCAGCTATCAATCAAGGTAAACAAAAAAGATACGAAAAAACAGCTAACAGGAAAGCAGCCGTTGTTATCAAGGTGAAAGGTGTGACTATGACTCATGTGAACTGAGTGTACAAAATAATAAACCATTATTATTTTTACAAAAGCAAAGTTAAAGTGGCTACAATTGAAAAAAGAGTACTCGTACATATTGTATATACCGATGTCTATCAAGAATAATTGTAACAATACTTTTCTGTCACCAATCAACTTGTAAATCATATCAAATATATACATATGCATGTAATTATATTTACGTCACACAAACAAATGCAAACTAATAAGGAAGAGCTAAATCCGGGTGTAACCGAACATTTAAAACTCTTGCAATTTGCAAGTATCAAAATCAGGGAAATACCTTTAGTGCTGGCAAAACTTTATATCAAACAAGTAAGGAAGGGCTAAGTTTGGGTGTTTATACTCTTGAAACTTGCAAGGAGGAAAGCTGAGGACTTACTTTCAGGCGTTGGCAAAACTTTATATCAACACTAAGGGAAGTATTGATCGATTCTACCCATATTTGACATATGGGCATAGTATTATCAGTAAAGGTTTTTTCCAAATTTCTGATTGACCGATATTTTCGATAAAATGTTCACTGTAGGAACTGGGGTTCACATATTCCGTATCTGGGGGCTTGAACAGTTGTAATCCGATTTTGACAAGTTTTGGTCATAAGATGGCCTACTTTAAGCGCACTATTCGGTCGAAGGTTTATCCCGATAAATTGAATGTCGCTGGCGTATTTATTGATTAATCGCACTTTTAGTAGTTTTTAATAAAACCTTTATATGGAGAGTGGGAGAGGTTCTCATCCGATTTCATCCATTTTTACAATGTTTCTGTTGTATCTTGCTACTCCGATCCCTTGTGCAAATTACAGGAGTACAGTAATTTAGTGCTTAGCTATGGCAATTTATAGGCTTAAGTTTAATGGCGTTTTGTAGGCGTGGCAGCGGTCTGATTACGCCCATTCCAATCCGACCAATGAACACGTATACAAAGTTTCATGACGATATCTCAGATTTTACTCAAATTACAGCTTGCACTGACAGACGTACGGACGGACAGACAGACATCCGGATTTCAATTTGTTCGTCATCCTGATCATTTAGTATATATATATATAAACCTATATCTATCTCGATTAATTCTAAGTGATATAAACAACCGTTAGGTGAAAATAAACTTTTCGTCCCACATTTCGGATACAAAAATTGAATTCCAAGTTTATAATTAAAAATTAAAACAAAAAAAAATTTTTAAGTTATATTTTTTCGCTCTTGCGCGAGTCTTGAATAATCTAGAGGTCGGAAAACTTACACATTCAAACGATTTATATATTATAAATTGTATACCCTGAACAGGGTATATTAAGTTTACCACGATTTTTTTAACACACATAGGGAAAAGTCGGAGAATCTATAATATATATATATTTATAAATGATCAGCATGGTGAGCTGAGTCGATTTAACCATGCCGCGAGTTATTCTCTCAGTTTGGAAATATCAATCCCATGAAGCTGCACGTTTGTCGTAACCGCCGATATCGGACTATTGTAGCATATAGCTGCGATACATCCGAAGAAATTGTGTAGATCGGATCACTATAGAAAATAGCTCCCATACATTGGAAGGAACCGTGTGTATTTTTAAAGGGTATTATAGCGTCGCTGGGAATAAAAATTTAATTTTTCAATAATTGGAATTTTTGGAAAACTGAAAATCTAGTTTTTAGTTTGAAAAATTACTGTTCCACAAAACAGCTGTTGTAATTGTTGCAAAGAATGGTCCAGCTCAGTTTGACAATTAGTAGAGCACATAAATTTTGTTGGAGCTTTAGAAGACACATTTTTCACCATTCTTGCTCACACAGGTGACGTTTTGTCTGCAATTTACAGCTGTACGTGCTTTATCAACGTTGCCATTAAGCTTTTATTTGATTGCATTGTATTTGTTGTTGTTGTGTGTTGGCACTTCCGTTACACGCAAAATATCTACTATGCTAATTGCACTTCATGCGTTACGTAGCAAAAGTTTATAATTGTCATTGTATAATCTACAATTATACAATGATAATTATCTTCCACACTCTGGCGAAGTTGCTGAAGAGCGGTGAAAAGTCGTGATATACTTTACCGTTATTCTTTGTTTTTTTGTGGACCAGGAGAACAAGAAACTCTGGCGATAAAGTACAATAAAAGGAAAGTAAGGATAAAAGTTAATGATTTGTAATTTATAGAGATTTTTCTGTAATTATTGTATTAATCAAATACAATATTTGTAACACCTACTTGTAGAAGCAAACTTCGGAGACCGTTTAAACTATATATATATGGATAGGCATATGTACATACATATATAAATGATCAGCGCGACTAGTTGAGTCTATTTCTTCATGTCCGCCTGTCTGTCTATCTGATGATCTTTTGCCGATATCGGACCTCTAAAGGATATAGCTGTCATACATCTTTTTTATTTGATATCTTCACGATATTTGGCATTATTCAGTATAACCTCTGAAAAAAATACTAAAGCAAATACTTGTATCTGTTATTCAAACTGACAGATCAAAATCAAATTTTCGTTAAGAAACCTTATTTATTTGTGAAGGGTATTATAGCTTCGGTGCAATCGAAGCTAAGTTCTTAGTTAACAATCAAACGCTGAAATTTAACAGGGCTTGCTTCTAAAAAGTCTAACTTCGGTGGATACTAAATTCGTATGCCGATCGCTGTGAAATACTTAAAAATGAGAAAACTTTATTTCTAAGGGAAAATACGCTTTTTTAACTTTGATATGATTTGATGACTGAAGACACAGAACTATCAACTAAGTTTACCAAAGACCTGGGGACGGTTACTGGCTTTATCTCATAAATAGTTTGCCCGATATTTATCTTAAGGCACTTCATTGCTTGCATAAGAAGATTCCCTTAAGAAACATCTCAAAAAAATTGAATGGCACCAAATCGGGTCTCCGTGCTGAAACTAAATTTGTATGATTATAAGTATGTTTAGATCCATTCCTTTGATTTGATATTCATAAAAAGTTTAGGAAATAATACCGCCTCTGCCAAAATCCAACCAAACTAACTACTTGAGGATGCATAAAATCGTCAAAAGAACAGATCTTAGGGCTAGAATGATGACCATTCAGTGAGAATTCGAAAATAGACAACAGTTTTGGGTTCAAATGGTTTGGAATGAAAGAATCAGCCATACTGGCAGCTAGATCAGAGCCAATCAGTATCAGAACGACCTTAGTTACGAAAGTTCTGACTGATGCAACATCATAAAAAATCTAAGGACGGAAAATCGTTGCTCCGAGTTGACCAATGGAGATGATAACGAAACGTAGCTTCAATTGTTAAGCTATTTTCCAAAATTGTTGCAGTGGAAAGTACGTCATTTCGTTTAATTATATACATGCATATGCATGTACATATGCTTTGTTGATATCCAGAGAGACCCAGATGACGAAAATAGATCAATAAATATGTTTGGAAATATTTAGTTCGCTGTGAAAACTATAGACATAAGCTAAATAAGTAGACTAAAAATATAGTCCATAAAATAACCTACGGTCAAGAAGAATTTCAAATATTGACATAATTACTACGGTTTTAGAAAGAGTTGAACACTACCCAAAATTTTGACCTGCCAAAATTCGATCTTTGCTCTTCATAAAAAAACAAGTACGTTGATGTATAGAGAACTCTGTATACATAAAACATGCAGAAAATATATGATAGTGATCGGATTATTTGTCTTTTGCAAATTTGAAAAATGTGGTTTTGAGAAAAACGCGTTTAAAGATAAACTTATTTAACTTAAAAGGCTGTAGCGCAAAAACTTCTTAAGATATCGATTAACAATTTTAATATGGTGTGTTCAAATGTATAACCTATTAAAATACGAAAAAATCGAGTTTTTTAAATTTCTTTCTAAGTGTGCCCCTTAAACAGCTGTCCTTAACCCAATCAAATATCACAAAGTATACTAACACAAAACTGATTTTAAAACATTTCGAATTCTTAATACTGAGACATACATACATTTAAAATAGGAAATAATTAACCATTAAATCTGAAGTACTTAAATAGATTTGGCTTTTGAATTATGGTTTTCCTAAGTCATTAACTTATGTTAACCAAATTTTACCAAAATCGACACGGAATTATAAGTTTGCAGCAAACTATGAAATCGACAGATATATCGAAGAATATATTCTATATATATTTTTACCCGAACCCGTGTACAGCACATTCAATTACCTCGATAAGTTAAGAACCAAAGTACTCACCTCTTTCGCTTGCCGCATTCGAGCACCTTTTTGCACACCCAACCTTCATCGGTTTTGACCCAAGCCTCACCGGGGGAACGCCAGTCGCGTGAATAGAACGGCATTTCTCTGAATATGGTTTTCGCAGCTGCTTTAATTTACCGTTAGTTTGTGTGTATGTGGTGTTGCTGCTATTACTCAGTGCAAGCACTTGCTAACCGTTGCAACTGCTGCCGTTGTTATTGTACCAATTCCGCGTTGACCTTTCAATTAACGCACTTAATTGCTTGGTAACTTTTTTAAATCCGTAAGAAAACCACAATTTAATTTCAAGTTTTATGATTGCGCTTATTAATAATGTTCAAATAAAAAATTGTATTGTTTTTGCTTTGTTGTTCTATACGTATTAAAGTTCGTTCGGACGGTTTTACAGTTCCAGACGTACGTTTTCTATATTATTTTGATAATTATTCTGCTTCTTTATGTATGAATGAAAGCAGGAAAATTTTTAATTGCAATCATTGTGCTATTCTCAACCTAAAAATGTATGTTTATGTATCGAAAAGAACTGCATTCGTGTATGGGTATGTATATATGTAGGTACATATGTATATGTACATTCGTCTATTTGTTGTTGCGATATTGCCCAGCCATTTATTGTCCCTCGTTGTCCCTCCTCCTGCCCGCATTCACCTACTTTTACTTACCCACTCACCCATCATTATCATATTAATCATCGTTTACGTAGGCAAATAATTTTAATGCAATTCAATGATTCCCCGGTAATTGCCTTTGATTGCTGGTGGGATGAAGTGGGGTTTTTTTCAACGTGAGCAAAGAAGAACATTACAATTTGTGATTGTTTTTTGCCTAAAAATTTATTTTCACCATGAATTGATATCAGGAATAATGTAATATGGGTACATTTCCGTGGTACATGAAAAATATTTCGATGGATATACGATGGCTAAAAGATTAATCAAAATTTGACTTAAATGATGAAAACGTGGACTAGTAATATCAAAGATCGAAATTTTTAGCTACCAATTAGAACTTCAACAAGGTTTAGGACTGGCTTAAAGCTATTTGGTAAAACCCAAACTGAAAATTCTGTCTCAATATCTGAATTTGTTAGAAGAAGTCTTTCTCAACAATATAATAGTTTCAAGTGGTTCCAAGACATGAATGAGTTCCTAAAAGATTAGTTGTTAATTGAAACTTTGAAATTTTCATGAGACTATCATCGATGTAACGAAGCTCGAAATCGCTAAAGAAAAATCTGAACCGTATGTACTTACATAGAGCTTCGACATTATTCCCAATAGACAGATGGTGATGCCATATTTCATATTTTGAATTTAGCGTTAATTTGTGCTCAACAAGTGATATATTCAAAGTTTCTAAGGGTTTCCTATTACATCTACATAAATTTAAGCCAGCTAAACCAATCTAACTCTTAACACACTTGTATAGTCCGTATGTACATACATATGTATGTATATATATATCCAAAAAATAATTAATAATAGCATTAATAACCGCTATGAAAACAAAGAACGTTTTTGCTTCAACAACTCTCTCAAATAGGCCGTTGCACAGTCTTGCACACGGTTTACATCCTTACAAACATATGTACATGTTACATATTAAATCCATTCACATACGCATAAACATCTGCGCTCGTACGCTGTGGAGCACGAAGTTTATAACACTGTTGGAGAAGGGGAGCAGTGGTGGGTGTATGCATGAGACTGGTGATTATTTACTGACACTTGACTTGCTGTTATTCTGTTTTGTTGTTATTGGCAATTTCGAAATTGTGTGGTAGACAGCTGATTTCTGCTCTTATGCTTTCTGTATGTTTTCTATTTTGTATGCAATTTAATTTATTGTTGCTGTACACCTTTGTGATAGATATTTCATGTTTTTACACATTTTCTGCTTTGCTTTGCACTTTCGCAGCAACAGAGCTAGAGTATGTGATTTGGAGGACCAGGCAGAAAAAATAAATAGACAAATATGCGCAAAAACAGATTTTTATACATACAGACATACACCTGTATAATTACCGAAAAATCAGTAAAAAGTAATAACATTTATATATTATTGTTTTTAATTTCGTTTATTTGTTTTTGGCAGTTACGATTTTCCCTCTTTACAAACTCACTCAAAGAAAATCATACACACACACAAACATTCATTTGTAAATTCTGCGTTTACTACTATTTTGCGCACTTTGCCTTTAGAAAGCTTCTTCCATATGCCTTAAGCAATTGTGTATCGTTCAAAAGGTATAATTATATGGATTAATCACAGAAACGCACAATATTGGCTTTATTGTATTATTTAAAAAATATTTGTTCACCGTTTTGAAATTTTGTGTTTTGTTTATAACTTTGTTTTTGGCAGTACAGCAGAGGGCAAGAACAATTGCGCATCAGCAGCAACAAATGCTTTTTTCACTTTTCTACTACACTTTGATACGGTTGAAAGCAATGTACCATAATTTAGTTTTTTTTATAGAAATTTCGTTTTTCTTGGTCAGCAGTTGAAAATTATATTCTTCACGCGCCGAGTCACAAAAGTGAACTGAGCGCAACGAACAGGAAAAGCCAATGCAGCCATTGCCAGCTCCATTGCGTTCGAATTGTGCGCGGAAGGGGGAGAAATTTGGTATTTGGAAAATTGTACAACAACAACAAGGAAGTGCATTTTTGCGTTGCCAGAAAATACTAAGTTAAAATGTAGTATGAAATATAATGGTTTATAAATTATTCCCAAAAGCGTGCTTATATATTATTAAAAAATGAAAAAAAAGTATTTCAAGAAAAAGACAAAAAGTATTAGATATTAAAAATAATTAATATTTAAAGTTTATTAAATAGTTAATTTGTATCACCCTTTTGCTGGAGCTAACCACACTTTTCCACATGAATGTGCCAAAAGCAGCCGTTCAGCCAAAAAAAGAAAATGCGATAAACTTGAGGAAATATTTTTCAACTACTTGGAAGTAATTTCACAAATAATTTATACCAAAACTAAGAACGTAAACATATTCGTAACGCACAGAATACAAATAATATGTCAGACGCTCCTGATGGTAAATTGCCCAATATCAAATTCGATGGTAATGCACCGAAGTTGGATAAAGCGCAATTAGAGTTTATGAAAATCATCGAACAACAGAATTTGGTGCGTGTGGAAAAGTTGCAGCGCATACGTAGAAACAACCTGATTACAGCCGGCATCTTGGGTGCATCCGTGTTGGGTATTTATGCCTACTCAATGCTTTCAGTGCAACAAGAAGACTTCCTGGATGATTTTGAAGAACCGAAAAAAATTTCAAAGCAATAAGAACTAGTTACATAAAGTATATTTAGTTTTAAGACAACACGAGAGAAAGAAAACAATTTGTATTTTTGGGTAATTTAGCATTAGCTTTGGAGTTCTAAATTTTTGTTGTATACAAGGTGAGCTGATTATTTCTCTAATATACACTTTTCATATAGTTTTATTAATTTTTTTTAGTTAAATTTAACCAAAAACATGCCACAAGCAGCAGCACGCGTACTCACTAGCGGCGTACGCCTACCGCCCATGCCAACTATACGCGATCTCGTGAAACTTTACAAATTGCAAGCTATTAAATATATGAGTCAAAATTTCATTATGGATGAACGTTTAACGGATAAAATTGTAAAGGCTGCTGGTCGTATAGATCCACAAGACACGGTGTTAGAAGTCGGTCCGGGTCCGGGTGGCATAACACGTTCGATTTTGCGGCGCATGCCCGGCCGATTGGTGCTTGTGGAGAAGGATGTACGTTTTATGCCAACATTAGAGTTGTTAAAGGAATGTGCACGCCCACTACAAACACAAGTGGACATCTATGAAGGTGACATTTTACGTTTTGACATGGACAAATATATACCAATGTCCGAACATCGCTTACATCTAATTGGCAATTTACCTTTTGCTATTTCTACGCGTCTACTTATAAATTGGCTGCAGGATCTGTCGCTGCGACGTGGTGGTTTTCGTAGTCCGGACACAGCTATGACACTCACCTTTCAGAAAGAAGTGGCTGTGCGTATTTGTGCGCCACTAGGTAATAAACAGCGTTGTCGCTTATCGATTATGTCGCAAATATGGACTACGCCGTATATGAAATTTGTAATACCTGGCAAAGCCTTTGTGCCGAAACCAGACGTCGATGTGAGTGTTGTAAAGTTAATACCATTGAAGCAGCCAAAAACGACGCTGCCATTCGAACTGGTCGAACGTGTGGTACGTCACATATTCAATATGCGGCAGAAGTATTGCCGACGCGGTTATAGTAACCTTTTTCCACCCAAAGATCGTGAAGGTGTCACGGATACACTTTTCGAGTTGGCCGATGTAGATCCAACCGTCAGACCATTCGAATTGTCTGTGGAGGAATGTTTGCGTTTGGCAACAGTGTATTCGGATTTCAAAAACAAACATCCCGAAGTGGCTAGCTATGATTACCGGGCAAGAAAAGTACCCATTAAAGATTATTCGGATTAATGTTATGAAAATGTAGATTATATGAATTACCATTATTTTTTGTTAGAACATGAAATTTCTGTACTTTCGCTTGTTTTATCAATATACATTTATTAAAAATTGTCTTTTAAATTACTTGGTCATATTTGTATAAATAAAATTAATATTCGGGCTTATGAATAATTGATAATAATTTGTAAACATGTAGTGGACGGCTTCACGAGTTACATAAATTTACCACATGTAAACGAGTAAAATGTAAAATTTGCACTTGAACGGAATATGTTCCAAATATTACTTTTGTCGTTCCTATTAATAATACAATTACTGTCGACCAAAAAATAACGACGTTGAATTACATAAGCAATCAAATATTTTCGCATTTAAATGCTTGCATATGTATGTCGTAGGTACTATTTTTTAAAATTGTGTTTATTATCAAAGGCACTTTAGGTGTAAAAATTTGCTTAATTTTGAGATGGTTCAAATCTGCTTTCTTGCTAAAAACAAGACTATGCTGAGTGAACCCAATAGAAACGTTGTGTTAATGGCAGTCGCTTTAGCACCGTTACAACGATGATCCAGGAAGCAGAAGCAGAATGTGACATCATTGAAATAATCGCGTTTCACGTCATGTTCTTTTATCGTGTGGTTAACGTAGTGTGCCAGACGTATGTCCTTTGCGGCTGGCCTACAACCTTCATATTTATCAGCAGGAATATCGGTACGGAAGCTCAATGCACTCAAGCAGTCACGCGTTATTGTCTCTTGTGCTAAAAGACAAAAACAAAATAAAGTATGATTTATTGTTGGTTATTTGTTGGCTAAATACATACCTCCACGTTTCTCAATTATTTTAACACATATATCATTGCTTTCAGGACATTGCTCCCCTAGAAACCCTATACCACGCCAGTTAAATTTTTCTCCACATCCGGGAGTGGCCGATGTGCAGCGGTAACACCATATTGCTGAAGCTATTGTAGGAGCAAAACATGTTTACAATTTTTGGAGATCTTGTGTTAAATTATATACAAATTAATTTTGGTAAATGTATACATAGTTTTGGTCCCCCAACTAAGAAGGCCTCAAAAAGGAAATTTTTTTTTTAAATCGTCTTATTATGAGGCGAATTTTATAAATCCGTGAGCGGAAAGTGTATTTTTTTATTATAATAATTTAAAAAAACAAAAAAAACTTTTTTTAAATTCTTTTATATGCATAAAAAAAAATTGTGATACATTAAAATTAATTATTTTATTTGTGTTGGACCGACCAGGGTAATTTTTTTGAAGCGCGGCCGTAGGCCGCCAATACAGAGGAGTTTGACGCGATTGAATTATGAACATTCCGGTGTTGGACCGACCAGGGTTACTTTTTGGAAGCGCGGCCGTCAGTGCGTCTCAAAGGAAATTGTGACTGTTACATTTCTTCTGTATTTTTTTCACAAGAAAATGTTTAACTCGCTGAACTGGTAATTACAGCTAAGTGATCTGAATTCTGAAGAATTTTGCCGCTACAACAAGAATAACTAAGTGACTTGAAAAATATGTGCAAAGGGCGTTAAATATATTTGTATATATACCTAAATTATTGAAAAATTCACTTTCCGCTCACGGATTTATAATATTCGCGTCAAAATAAAACGATTAAAAAAATGTTTCAGGCCTCCTTAGTTGGGGGACCTAAACTATACATTTCCTAAATTAAGGCTACATTTTTTATGTACTTTTTGTTTTTGAGAGATGCGTTTTTCTATTATATTAAATGCGCTATGATTAATCTAGCTATTTTTAAAGAACAACTTATATGAGTACGTTTCTGTTTTTCTTTCCTCACTCACCTTCATGTATAGTTAATATTGCTACGACAGCTGAAATTACTATTGCTTTTTTATGCATTTTTCTTAGAACTATAAAATTATAAATTAAACTGTAAAATCCCTCAAAAGTTTTGGTAAACAAATATGTTAAACAATTCGGAAATGATTTGACAACGCCCAGCAGTCACTTGACAACCAAAAGCATGGTATAAGGGAGTAGCGAAAGTCTCATTCACAATAGTTTCGCCACCTCTGAGGTGTACGTTCACAATAAAACCAACATGGTGGCCATGGTGAGTTAGGGTGGCAAGGGGCTAAAACGGGTTGCGCATAGTAGAAAACGCCTAAATAATTATTTATAAATATTTAAAATTTTGGTTATTAATTGATGTTTAATGCTAACAATATATAATATCATACCATCTTGATATAGGTAAATATGCGGCATATTTCTAAGCATTTTAAATAACTTATTATTGGGCAAACTGAAAATTCAATTTAACTATGAGTGGACGGGAAGAAATAACTATTGTAACAAAATTTGATACTATAAGTAATAATAATTTATAAAATCAAAAAAGCAAAACTTATCATTGCCATACAAGTGATAATAAATTATTTAAACAATAAAGCAAAATTTATCATTGTACTTATATGAAGAAATTTTACTAGTGCTCTAATTTAAGTATAGATTTATTCAATCACAAATTTTATTTACGTTTTATATATCAGCAATTGATGGTGGATATATGTACAATAGTTTATTACAACTTTTGACGTACAAAATTACAAAATTATTATTATATAGTTTTAATTTAGTTTTCAAATATATAGACTCCTAAAATAAATTATTTGTTGAAGTTGCAATATCGTTATAGTATAAAACATTTTATAAGGGTATAAAATACGGTAGATATATTTCTTTTTTAAGAAGTATTATAAAATTAGCTTCCGCAACACTGTTACGCAATGCTCAATAGCAATACTGGCATTTGAATTTATTAACAACTTTTAGTCAAACGAATTAATACACACCTGCTTACTGATAAAAATTCTTGTGTGAGCAGTTTTATCAGTAGCAATATTAAATATTCATTATTTTACGAAGATTGTATTGCAAATTTATAAACATTGCCCTCAGTTTCGTTGAATAAGCATTTACCGCATCCCGTTATTTGACATGGTTGCTTAATTGCACCTTACATATTTCTGTGGTGAATATTTATTAAGTTACCACAGTTAAAAAAAGGCATAAATATATATCGTAATTATTCTGAAATTTGCCAATAATAGCCGCTTTTTTTAAAAACATATATTAAAATAAATTTATTTTATTTTGAAAACATATTAAAGTTTTACATATAATCAATATTTTTTGGACAACTTTTTCATAAATTAAGAGAAAATGCCAGATGCAACCATTTTCCGGTTAAAAGTCGGCCATCTTGGCTATCAATAGAAACTCAACCCCTAGGCGGACTTGACGTTTCTCAATGGACCCCTCTCAGCTGTAGCATTGCTTACATCCATCAGCTGATTCTTTCTCTACTCCCCCTTTACGATGCACGTGTGGATTTCGTAGTTAATTTAGTTATCTGGAAAATAGTGTTAATAATTTTTATATGTATATATTAACAAAGAGTGAATTATAGTTGGGCGATGACCGACATGGACTCGCATCAGTTTAGTGACGCTGATGAGGAGGAGGAAATACCATATAAGGTGCTTATGGCGGAAATGTTGCAAACTAATCAATTGGAAACGGAATTAATAATAAAAATTGTTTTAATCAAAATTACACTTCTCTTGTAGAATAACTTGGTAAATAACTTCAAAAATTTGACAGTCAAACATGTCATGTTCAAGGACATCGAAGAGGATAAAATTGAAAATGACGAGTTCAATACTATAATAGATGACGCAAGTCCAGACGAACAAGATGGCAATGAAGATGAGGACTATGATTACAATGAAGATAGTGAGGACGCATATGACTATGAGGAGTCTTACACAGGTTATCAAAAGCACAATGGGCAAACAGCGCAAATTTCATTAAACCACTCAGGCAATACAAATGGTGGCTCTGGTGCACAGTCCAATCGTCTAAACAGCTATCAGCCCAATGAAAAACTCTTACGTCGTTACTCGGCGCGCATTAATGTTGAAAAATATGATCCCAATGCAAATATGAGCGCCCAAGCCGCTAATCGACTGGTCACATTCGATCGGCGTCAAGAGGCGGAACGGGTGCGAGTACGTGATAAGCACGATCGTGCCACAGCCGAGCAAGTAATGGATCCACGCACACGTATGATACTGTTCAAATTATTAAATCGTGGTTTCATACAAGAGATCAATGGCTGCATTTCCACGGGCAAAGAAGCGAATGTTTATCATGGTGTTTCGAAGGACGACGATGAGTATGCCATTAAAATCTATAAAACATCAATTTTGATATTTAAAGATCGTGACAAGTATGTATCAGGTGAATTTCGATTCCGTCACGGTTACTGTCGTCATAATCCACGCAAAATGGTGCGCACCTGGGCAGAAAAAGAGATGCGCAACTATTTGCGTATGCATAATGCCGGTGTGCCTGTGCCGGAGCCATTACTCTTGCGTTCACATGTGCTGGTGATGAGATTCTGTGGCAAAAACGGTTGGCCTTCACCAAAACTGAAAGATGTAGAACTGACTACCTCCAAAGCGCGTGAGCTATATCGTGAATGTGTGGTGCTTATGTGGCGCATCTATAACAAGTGCAAATTGGTGCATGCAGATTTGTCAGAATTCAATATTTTATTACAAGATGGCCAGCTGATAATTATCGATGTCAGTCAGTCGGTAGAACACGATCATCCGCATGCATTTGACTTTTTGCGTAAAGATTGTGCCAACATATCCGATTTCTTCCGCAAGCGTTCAGTCGCGACAATGACTGTAAAAGAGTTGTTTGACTTTATAACAGATCAGTCGATAACAGAAGAAAATATGGAGGTATGTCTGGAGCTTATATCTGAAAAAATTAAAGATCGCGATTTTGAGGCGATCACTGCGCAAGAGAAAATCGATGAAGCAGTTTGGCAGAACACTTACATACCTAAACGCTTAGATGAGGTAAACAAATTTGTTATATTCAAAAAATATATGTATTACACCTTAACTTTCCTAGGTGCGTCACTTTGAGCGAGATGTCGATAAAGCCAAGAAAGGTGTAAAGCAAGATCTTATTTATGGCAAAATTACGGGCTTAAACTCGGAGTTAAATGTACAAGAGAAACCAAATACCCTGCATAAGGTCGAAACTGGGAAAGGCAAATCGCTGAAAAACTCACATGATAACAAAGAAAATACAATAAATGCTACAAAAAACACCGAGGACGCGGCTGACTTAGGCGAAGATGGAGAGAGTGAAGAAGAAGAGTCCGATGCTGAGGGTGAGACTAGCTTTGTCAATTCATCGCGTCCACGCGGCGAATCCCCTGATAGCAAAAAGGCTCGTAAAAAGGCCGTTAAAGAGGCAAAGGCGGAAAAACGTAAAGTGAAGGTTAAAAAGCATGTAAAAAAACGAAAAGAGAAGGTAGCGAACACACGCAAGTAATGTACATTTACATATACATATATATGGTTTAAAACCGCACATTTATATTTAAAGTTAGTAAATTTTTTTTTTTATAAATAAAAAAATATAAAGAGAAATGAAAAAGAAATATTTTGTAGACTTGCATGTAATACCATCATTTATTATAATGAAGGCGGCACAATACTTTAATTTTTTTATAAAGAAACGTTTACTATATTGTAAAAAAAATTGTTAATACAATCTTTTTAAGAAACGTTTACTATAATTTTTTTTATTAAATTTGTTTATAAATACTATTAAAAGAAACTATATACTATAAAAAAAACCATGTAAACGTTTAGTATAAAAAAAAAATTTTTGTTTATATTGCTTTCCTTAGACGTTTAGAATAAAATTTAATTTTGTTCCTTAAAAAAGTTTGGTATGAAAAATACAAGGACATTTTGTATATAATTATTTTTCCTCAAACGCTTGGTATAAAATAATTAAAAAACACATTTTTATACTCTTGCAACATGTTGCTACAGAGTATAATAGTTGTGTTCGCCTAACGGTTGTTTGTATCACCTAAAACGAATATGGATGTTCAGTTATATATGTATATATAAATGATCAAATATGTTCTTAAGTATACCTCAGCATCTCAAAATTAATCCTTTCTTTGCCCTTAATACATCTTATATAATGAATTCCGACTTTACACCTGACTTTAAGTCGTTCAGGTTGGTAAAAATGTACGATAATTTAATAAAATTAAATGGACATGTTTTCTTAAAAATTATGCTGCTTACCACTGAATATGAATGGAATTGGTCTATACCTTGGTCTAAACCTCATATCCCTAATATAAAGAATTTCGATCTTCTAGTTGACTTTTTCCGCATCAACTCAATATATTACATTTTGGCTCTTCGGTTGAGTTAATATCACATATTACTCATTTAAGGATGATTTTTGTAAAATTTTCGCAGACGGAAAGTAAAATAAGTTATAAAACTAATTGAGTCTATGACATATAATATAAGTAATAAAATATCAAATTTGATTGTAATTCATTCACGATTGCGTCGAATAATGAATGTTGAACTCTTTCGCAACATTTTTTAATACAAAATTTTGCCAACACCGATAGGTATTTCGCTGGCTTTGAGCCTTGCAAGTTGCAAGAGTATGAAATGTTCGGTTACACCCAAACTTAGCCCTTCCTTACTTATTGTTTATAATTTTTTCCTTAAAAATTTGGTATAGTAAAAATATAAAAAACCACATTATTTTTGATTTCTTTAAACGTATAAAACTTAAAAAAAAAATAATTTTCCCTTAAAATTTTGGTGTGAAAAATTATAAAATTTTTTTTTTTTTTCATAAACGTTTGTTATAATAATAAATAAAAAAATCGTTTTTTTTCCTTAAACATTTGGTATAAAAAACTAAAATATAAACACTTTTTCAAAATTATTTTGTTTTGCATAAAATATATATATTTTTTTATTGAAAAAATATTTTCTGTATATACAAATGGAATATGTTTAAGTATTTTATAACAATAAATATGTTTTTTGTTCGTAAAAAACATTAAATTTTACAGTTTACTCAAATAACCACATAGTAAACATTTTAATAACATATTTAGTTTCAATTTTCTCCTTACAAAAACTATCTTAAATTTACTAAATATTTATCACAGAATAAAATTGCGTACTAGTAATTTTATATACACTAACGTACCGTTTTTTCAAGCAGCAACTTACATACATTGACTTAAAATCCAAACCACAAATTTTCAACTAACCCTAACATTACCGCCTAACACTAGAAATACAAGTATGTATAGGTACACTTAAAAATTAGAGATAATACCATCACTTATGTGCCACAACGTCTGCGCAAACTCAAATACATAAGTACTCTATAGAAGAGCATAAGCATTGTGAGTAGAGAGAAGAGATACCACATCGATAGTTGTTCAATGTCTAAAAACTTCAGTAATACCCTGGGGTCACCAAAATGGCAATACATTTCGTCGCACTCCAATTCTGGACGTTCAAAGCCGAAAACGGTGAGTATTAGCGCCACCACGGCAACGCGTATGTAACTAAATTTCATGAGTAGATTCATAGCGTACGGAATCTGTGCAGCGAAATCGAAACCATACACAGCCAAACCCATCAGCGGAGCAATTGTTAAGGGACCAACAGCACTGCCGTTCTGTAAAAATAAAATCAGGTTAGGTTAGAGTATACAAATTTTTAATAGTTTTGTTGAAAGTAATGTCGGTGTCAGATATTTATACTATCGCAACATGTTGTATATGGTACAAATGTTTTTGTTGTTCATAACAACTAAAATAACTGATGACTGATATAAGCTGTTTAGAAAATTTTCACTATTGTTGTTGTAGCGGCAGAAAACATCCCTAAAGTAATTTGGAGGAATACTACTGAATTGACAGTCCTTGGTCGGATACAAATCCCGGTCCGTTCCGGTTACGTACACCCGATTGTCTTGGGAACGCAAGCATTTCCCTCTATCAATTCATCATACATTGTAAAAATAGATAAACTCAGAAAATAAACACGCACACCTTCATACAAAGGTCTTATTAAAAGTCCGTTATCTGTCTGTTACGCAAAACGTCAGAGGCATTAAATTTAACCGTAAGACATTACACAAATATTCAATTAATTTTGGGTTGTTTTATTGATTTAGTTTATTTCGAAATACTCAAAACTCAGAAACTTTCGTTGTACAACAACTTTGCTAAAGATCATCACATGATCAAATGAATAGTTTATGATTCTATAAAGGACACACGGACAAACATTTATTTATATATATATATGGACAATAGGTGGCAGCACCCATACGGAGGCGAAATCAGCCATCTCTGCATCGACAATATTCTTTACATTACATTGTCTTGACATCTTTATGTTACACTTTTGAAACGCTCGAAATAGGACTACAACCACACCTACATATTTCCCAATTAACCACATTTTAAATTCCATCTGATTTTCCAGAGGGAAACATCGGAGACCCTATAAAGCATATAGAAATATAAATGATCAACGTAACAAGCTGAGTCGGTTTAGTCATGTTCATCTGTCTACCTGTATATACACAAACTGGCCGATCAAGATGAAGCCCTCTCTATACTCTTTTATGTTATAAGAAATGTGAAACTGAAGTGCTTCGATGCATCCGAATTAAATATTTCTTTCCTCTTTTTACTTACCGTTATACTAAATGTCATGCCAATTGCCAAGCCCATGCCTTCTGCAATCAATGAAGTCATCAAACCAATACTGGCAAATAGACCAAAACGCCACAATTGTGTTGGCAAACCACTCATCCAATAAATAATCGTTAGCATTATCATATTCAAAATGATCTAAGCAGTAGAGAAAAAGAAATATTTTTAATTCGAGCAAGGAATATTATTAATAGTTTACCTGTAGCGGCAAGCGTGAGAAGTTCAAAGCCATATAATAAGGTGTTAATTTATACCAACGATTGAAGGTTTCCTTTCGAACAATTTTTATTTCCATCGGATCTATGGTTAATTGGAAAGAAGATATTGATTAATAATTGGATGTTATTAGGAAAAAAAATATATTTGAAATCAATTCTAAATAATAAAATATTTTTACAACTAATTTTTTTTCATAACTAAATAAAAAATTATAAATATAAAAATTTTGGATTAGAAATAAGTTTTTTAATTGGAAAATCGGAATTTAATATTTAAATTTTTATCCCAAAATCAGAACTATAAATTGATAAAATTAAATCGTTTGAACATGTTAGTCGACTTTTGCTCTATAATTGAAGATGAAGGATCTGTGCGAGTTCTAATTCAAAATGGTAGATTTTTTAATTGTAATTGGAATTAGAAATTTGAAAATTATTTTTAGTTACGTCTTTCGGTATTTCAAACCCAAAAAAACTGTATCTATGTGTTAACCCAATTATTTATTAAAGCCTTAATTGCCGCCCTCAATATATAATTTAAAACGATTTTCTAAGTCTGGAAATTTCTTTTTGCCAATATATTTTTTTCTTAACTCTAATGATTTAATTTAACGCGTATACATTATACTTTAACATAATCCTCATACTCACAGCTCAGTATCGGCACCATTACTTGTGTATATGCAATAATTATAATTATACCAATGCAGAATTTCAAATGATCAAACATGCGTGAACCCTGATTGCCGAGATTCAGAAAAATCAGTCCTAAATATATACAAAACAAATCAAATTAGCGCTTTCTTTTGCAACAAAACCCCTCAAGCAGCTCGCCACTCACCGAAGCATAGCGCTGTCAGCACGTGATGCAAAAACTGTATGAGTAAGGCGACACGTGCGCGCATTATTCGCACCAGCATCATTTTGAAGAGCACACAAAACTGATGGAGGCTCGAAGTGTCCTCCTGTTCGGTGTCCAGCAACTTCGTAAAGGTCTTCAAATGCTCGTAAAATGCCGTTACACCGCCAATAAGCGTGCCATCTGTGGAGAAATTCGTGCCTGCCGAGAGAAAGTGTTGCCAGCGACTACGCTTCGGTTCTTCAACGAAGAAAGTGCGCACCGATTGCTGGAAATCTTTCGAATGCTGTTGAAAAACTGTCAATGTTGTTGTATTACTTAAACCATTGAGTTGTTGTGGCGCATATATCAGCTTGCCATTGTCGGTTAGCTCGCTGAGTACAGGTATGAGTTTGCCCTCATCCGCATCGCACAACTCAATAACTGCAATATAAAGAAAAAGAAATGAGGAAAATATAACCACATAATTTCGAAAACCAAACTCACTGTAATCCGATGGACTGTAATATTTGGGGCATTCAATATGCACGTGGCGTAAAAACGGTATCACCGCACCCGGCTGACCCTGGTAGACGCATTGCCCGCTCGCCAGCACAAAAATACTATCGAAATAATTGAAAATCGTCGCCGATGGCTGGTGTATTGTACAGACGATGGTGCGTCCCTCTTTCGCCAATTGACTTAGTAGACGTATGCATTGTGCCGCTGTCACCTCATCCAGACCGCTGGTCGGTTCATCGAGAAAGAATATGTTTGGGTTCGCCACCAATTCGAGCGCGATCGAGAGCCGTTTGCGTTCGCCGCCGCTCAGTTTTTCCGCGTAGACATTACGCCGATGGTTCAGGTGGAGATTTTCAAGTATCTCTGTAATTATTTCTGCTTTGCGGTTGCAATGCGGCAATTTGAGATTGCAGCTGAGTGTCATTAGCTCTTCGACGGTGAGTAGTGTTTGATGGTTGTCCTCTTGTGTAATGTAGCAGGAGCCTTTGCGCTCGATTTTTATGTGGCCCTTGACGTCTGATGTTCTACAGGTAAAATGTGAAAAGAGAAATGACAATTAAAAGGAAATTGGAGTTTTAATGTCATTAGTAATATTTATCACTCTTGCAATAGTAATCCAAACATTGCGATGAATGAAAAATTCTTTCAAAAAAAAACATGGTTTTCTCTAAACCTTATGAATCTACTACGATATAACTCGTTTTGACATAGTAGCGGTTTTCGGATTATTACTCTAACTTTTTTCACATGAAGTACTATAAAGCATTAACCTTCAGGATAAAATATACGAAAGCGGTCCGAGTACTTAGCCGTCGATACGATGGATGTCTCGTTTGCCAACTCTGGATAATGGATAATAGGGGAAACCGTAAGACCACATTAAAGCATTGTTTAATCGTAAACTGAAGTAGTCTCTGCGCCGTTTTATGACCGTCGACTAAACATGTATCCTGGTATACTGGTACACACCAGATATCAAGGAACTGTCGAAACAGCAGATTTCACTCAGGAAACATTTTCCAAAAAAGCCGAAAAGATCGTTCTGGAATTCCCAAGGTGCATTCCACATCGACTATATAGAGAAGCTCAAGACGGTCACAGGGTCTATTATACGAAATTTTAGGCCCTTTTGGCGAAGAAAAAAGTACTTTTCCACCACGATAACTCAAAAACTTGCACTTCCACCGACACCAGTGCCAATCGATCGAATTAAGCTACATATGTCCATCTACCATGTTCTTTAAATTTGAAACGCATTTAGAGCCACATTTTTGTAAGTGTACATTGTATTTGGCCTTTGTCATTCTTTCGTTATATTTCCTTTTTATATTCAACTGTATACGTATCCTAACTTGCAAACTACCTGACGTCAATTTACCGTTTAGTTAATCAATAAGTGTCACTAATGTAACCATCTAGAGATGTTCCGGCTTATTTAACAATTTATTTGCTGATTTCAATTTGCGAAATTTGAGACCGAGACTCACATAAACTCATTTTTTTAATGAAGAAAACAAAAAATATGTGTCTAGAACCAGTTGTATTAACAAATCTTTGGTAATTAATAAAAAAAAATTATGCTTGCCTATATAAAAACATACATGAGTATGGATTTCTTTGTATATTGTCCCGCATATGCCATATATAAACATTTATACAGCAACGAGATACGAGTTCGAAAGCCAATCTGTAGCCATCAATCAAATGTAAATTCTAATATCCGCCAAACTAAAAAAATAAAAAATTTATAAATTCAACAAAATTTTGAAGCTTTAGGCAAAAACTTCGATTTCGTTTGATGCTGCTCTGTTTCTCATTAGACATGACTTCGCACATTTTTTTTTTGCGCTCCACACTCAATACTTTAAATTGATTTGAGTTTTAAGAAAATGTTTCCATTGTTGCTGCTTTCATCTTCTTTCTTGTTGTTAGTGGTTTGAAATTTTGTTCCTCTTCACAACTATTGATAATCAAACTGTCACATGCAGTTTCCTTCTTGCAATTTTGAAATTCTATGTATGTAAATACATAATAATGTATGTATACGTATAGGCACTTACCGCAGACCAGATAAAGCATTGAGTAAACTACTCTTGCCCGCACCGGAAGGACCCATAATTGCCGACAGTTGACCATTGCGGAAGCTGCCGCTGACACCGCGCAATATTTGACGAGTTCCAGTGACTTTAACTAAAAAAACATATTAAATTAATTTGATGTACATACAGTATATTATATATATGCATGCTGTATGTTCGTTATGATAATACGTATACACATAATAAATGTAAATGCTCAATAGGGTTCTTTTTCAATAACAAATACAAATACTCTTATATACCATCTGATCAAATTTGACCCGGACTGACGAAAAATTATATTTTCACGTATTTTAATACAAATCTTTATGCCAATATGACTTGTTATAAGTCTCACTTGAGATCGCTAGTTTTGAAAACTGTTCAACAATATAGCGAATGGAGTCATATTCATAAACTCACGTCTTGTCAGCAGTAATGTTGCGTTAATTACGTTGTCAAGCATCTCTTTTGCGACCTCAACTTGACGTCGGTTTTGCAAAAGATTCGTATCGTTTGAACGAGTCTAGCATTGGCATGTTTCATACGCAAAACATTAACCAAAATGGTTGAGTCGATCCATAAGAGATATTGAATGCTTTGTGACATTCAATTACTTGTATTCGTGATAAAGTAGACTCCCCAAAACACCTCTGCAACATTTTCAATGATTCCGTAGTCGTAATTCCAATGGAAACATTTAAATTTAAGCAAACTCATTGTTCAATTTATTTTTGGCGGTAAAAATCACCACATAAACTTTTCGCGTCGTAAACTCAACTCGCCAACTCGCCAAAATATGAATATTAAAACCGGAATAACCTTATTGAATGCGAAGATTAACGGAAACTTGATTCATCTGTTAAATAGCGGAACTTCTCTCTTATTTCACATATATAGAGATACATTTAAAAAAAAATATTGCAGTTTTGGCTTTGGTTTGAGGGCTAAAAATATTTATTCAATTTTCGACATGGAAATGGCTTCAATTGTCCGAGTTTCGGTAACTTTTGTGGGTCGTTTTTTATTTCCATATGTCTTTTAAGAACTCCTAACATTAACAGTAGAGGTGTTTGTAACAAAGCATAGAACTTTATAAAAAATAGTCCCAAAGAACATTTGAGGTGTTCTCTTCTTTGAGGTTTCCCTAGCATATTTTTAACGCTATGCAATGGGAAAGCAATGAGCTTATCTAGGTTACAGGCGCCAGGTTTTGGATAAATAAAGTTTGTTGGGTTTTAGAGATATTTAAATGTTTATGTTTGTTAGGAATCTTCGCACGATTTGATGATATCCATTCAACGCGTTTTGTTAAAAAATGTCATATATCGAAAAATCCTGCAAAAAAGAGACCCTATAAAGTATATAGGTATATGAATGATCAGCGTAACGATTTGGGTCGAGTTAGCAGTCTGTTTGTATATATGCCAAAAAAAACAGCCGATATCGAACCACTATAGTATACAGCTACCAAACAAACTGACCAATTAAAATTAAGTCTTTGTTTGGAAACAATTTTTAAGCTGACAAGATATCTTCTCGTGATTTGGCATGGGTAATTGTCCAAGGCAAAGTTACAATCTGCCAAATTATTCAGATCGGACCACTATAGCATATAGCTTCCTTTTTATACCCTTTTATGTTATAAGGTACACTATTATGACTTGGATTAAGCAATAATTCTGATTTTAAAATTATTTTTTATAAAATATATAATACGTTACGAGTGGATTAAAAACTACTAGTACACTCCATTATAGTACAAAATCATACCTTACAAACAGTGCATATTGGTAGAACACATGTTCATTCAAATTTGTTATTATTATGAAGATGGAGTGAACTATGTCTGTGTTTTGTTGTGATTAGAGGCGCTATTTATTTACTTCTAAGAACCATATCAATATCAGATATATTCTTTCAATAGTTGCCGCCCCTCAAAATAAAAGATACTATGAAAAAATAGTCTATAAAAATCTGCCGGTGTTCAAACTTAGTCAGCTTTACTATAGTGTTTACATTTTTTATCTCAATAATATTTGATATTATATACATATACCTATACATATTTTCATGAATTCACATGATTTGGCATTGACATTGCACTTGCACAAGCGCATACTTATACGCCCAAAACACATGCGCATGCTTACTCACATACAAATGCTATCTAAGCTCGATGAGTGATTGAGCAGAACTCTGCGACTTATTAGCTCGTTTGACGGAAGAGCAGCCATTATGTACGAGCACAAGCTAACACATTGTGTCAGTGCATACATAAGTACTTATAAATTTGTATCTATGTACATACTAGTAAAATATGCAGATGTAGTACTTGCATGCAGTTGCTTGTGTTTCCGTTTTTGATGCGACAAGACATACATATACACATATGCATGTATAATGCAGAACAATGCTAGCAAAGCGCTTATCACAAAATTAGCTTTTAATGTAATTAATCATCGGTATAATAGTTGTAAGTCTAAAGTGCCGTATTTTTGTAAAACAATAAATATGTAGTAAAATACATGCATTCCTACATGTAGGAAAATTATTTAACATTAAAAAACGTGTTGCAAAATAATTGACACGGATCACTTTATGGGACTCCCTATATATGTACATATTATATATATAAATATATCATAGGCATGCTTCTGTATTATGCATTCAAAATATAATTGAGATGATATGATTTTAATTTCTTACTACTACTATTATGATTATATTTGTTGTCAGCACAAATCGCATTAAATACTTTTACCTACAAAAGAGAAATAAAGGCAAAAAATCAGTTTCCGTAAATAACCGCAAATACAAGATCAATACCAAACTGACAATTAAATGTAAACAAAATTTTGAAATGAATTATGTTGATAACAGCAATGCAAATATTCGTAAATATGTACGTAAATTTATGCACACCCGCCAAGTAATGTAAATGTAAACAAATTAATAGACTTCTGGTTTGATATTCACTTATGGTGTCTTGTGGTAAATGGTAGATTTGTATTAAAGAATGTAAAAAATCAAAGAGCACAAGAGAGACAATGAATTATAATATTCTTATACTATACGTAACATTTGGTTAAATTTACGGCAATATTTGTTTACAAGAGGCATAAATATAACCTACAAGAAATGCGACACGACCACAATAAAAATGATCAAAGTCATTGTTTTCTTAAACACAATTCTTTGTAACACCTCTACAAGTAGAGCTGAAACGTCAGAGAGCAAAAATAACTCCACTGTCCCTGCTGCTGCTTTCGCAAAAGCCGTGAGCACATTTAATTGCCAATGTGAGCACATAGGGCATAAAAATATTACACCTGCAATCTGCAAATATCCACAACAAATAAATTACTCACCTAAAATTAGAGCTGTAAGACATCACACACATACATACAAACATAAATGGCGCGTGGGTGCCAACAAAACTCACATATCATGCGTTCAATGAACTTCTCAACGCCCTTTTTATTCTTTTTTTTTTATCGACAAATGCATTTGCTATGGCTGCGGCAATTTTAGCAAGGAAATAAAAAAAAGACATGCAGAAGTAACAGCAGCACCTCCAAAAAGGCGTCAACTGTTGACTCACTGTTGATTGTTGTGACTGCTGCTTATATTACAGATCTATGTATGTTAATGTGTTTATGAACGTGTCAATTGTGTTGCTGTTATCTACACTCACGCCTCTGTTCTGTTCGTACTATTTGAGGTGCATATGACATTTGCACGCACACGAATCGTGTGTGTTTGCACAACAACGTGACTTTTCATTTAATGGTCGCTAAACAACAAACAGAAAAAAAAATTATGCATAAAAAATTTTAGAGAAAGAATACGCTTCGAGCAATTTGAGCCGACAGCCCTCGTTCGTTCACTATAAATTAATTTTTATGTTCAAATCACTTTATTTAATATACAAAGCATACATATGTACATTTGTACATATATCAAAAATTATAAACGAATTGCATTTATGCTTAGGCTTAAGAAATTGAAACATAAAGTGGGGAAAACAACATAAAAAGAAGAGCTAGTCACATAAAGTGTCCAACGGCGTTAATAATTCTGAGAAAACAGAAGACGTGACAAAAATGTAGCAGGAAGTACCTAAAAGCATACATGCACGTGCTTGTTTGCAGTACAAAGAAGGAATTGGAGCTCATTTAATGAGCAAATTGAACTTAGTTCTGAAATTGAAATTTGAAATTATTATGAGTAAATTGTGTAATGAAAGTAAATTTAAAAACATCAAACGACAGTGTTCATCTCGGTCTAGTAATAAATCTGCATTTGTACGAATTTATTATACATATATATGTATATGCATATGTTAGCCCACTATCGGTTAATTCACCAGTTAATTACCCAACAGCGTTACAAGAGATTTCTGTTAAATTGTCTATGAGTTTCTTAAGGCACAATTGACAAATCTAACCGAAACTTTTGTGTACATGTGATCGTTCATCATTTTCTTGAGTTCTATTAGAGTTTCGATAGTCGTGACAAGCTGTGTACGTCATCTAATGCTGTTGGTTGGATTGCACCTCATCCAGCTCATCATCCTACTATGTTCGCTTTTAATTTTTCAATTTTGAAAAATACACCAGAATAATGAAAACTAAATACGAATAATTGAGCACAATTATACATTAAATACCGGTTGTAAGGTATTTTCCATTTCAAAATTGTGGTTTGCTAAAAATTTCCATTGCAAGTTAAATGTTATAAATTATCGGTTTCAATATTAAAAAAATATAAAATATAAATAAAAACTCGAATGTGATTATTAACAATGACCCTTTCAATTTGTCATCGAAACAAATTATAGTGTCAACTTTAGAGCCATTGACCACAATTATTAATTTACAATTGGATCGTTCACTAAGTAATTTCGTTTGATGACAACAACTTTTTATTGAAAATGTTGGTCAATCTGTGAAATACATTATTGAAATCCGGAAAATGTATTTTCCTGATAATATTATGCTTGTATGTCAAAAATGGATTGAGCTGGATCGATACTTCTTTTAGCCCCCATATACTTGATACAGTTTAGGCTTAGTATAAATGAAGTTTTACACGATAAAATAACGTGCC